TAATATAAAATATTTCGTCCGTCCCTAGTTTTAGGGAACTGCAACGACTGCAAGTTTTTTAACCTGAAAGCAACAGCATAGTTAACGGTCATGCAGAAAAGCATTGATTTGTCAACGTTAAAAGAAAAAGAAAAGAAGGTAATAATGCATTATTAGTATTTTCATCTTTGTTGCTGGAAGTGCAAAAAGTTAGGTGGCAAAGTTTAAGTAATAGAAAACATTTGCAAATGGTAGGTGTTGTACTGCATGCCAATATTGAATGATACGTCTTATTCAACAGCATCAATGACTCTCTTGCTAAATCCCGTTCATGTTGCGACAAAATGAGAGTTCTGTTTGCAAATTCCCCTAACGCAATTTGGTGGATAATTGTTTGGGATATTTAAAAAAATGTATTAATGGTTGCGATATAAATAAAGGTAGTAAATCTTTATAATTATTTATTTTATTAATTAACTTGTAGTTAAATAAAATATAAAACATCGGCTGGTTTGCCCGAGAGGTTAAGGGGGCAGACTTAAGATCTGCTGCACATAAGTGCGCGTGGGTTCGAACCCCACAGCCAGCAGTTTTCTTCAAAAATGAATCCTTTTTTGATAGATTATGATATGTATAATTTATATTTCAGTTCTTAGAAATTAGCTGCTTTGCCCGACATGTTACTGGACGGAATTTAGATTGTTATCGTCTATGAGTTGAGGGTTTGTGTTCCTCTGTTTATTTATTGTTTGGTCTATTCCTTGTTTTGGTCCCTCTGCTAAAATTGGTTTAATTTTAGTTTTTAATCCTTCAACTTTGTTTTATTTTCATTTTAAAAATTGGTGTTCCCTACTTCCTAAGGTATGTAAAGCTTTGATTAAATAACTCTGGCAATTGAGCATTTAATTCTTTGAACTTTGTTAATCTGAAGTTAATTAGACGTAGGTTCTAATGTTGTGTGATTCAAGTCTCATTCGATATATATCTAACTTTTATGTGGTTCGAGTACTTATCAAATGATAATTATGATGTTGTGTGGCCAAGGATATCACTATCAAAATCATGTGGATTTGTTAGATGTAGATCTTGATGTTGTGTGATCTGTCTCATCTGATTTGTATCTAATGTTATATGGTCCAAATACATATCAAATGATACTTCCAAATGATGTGTGGTTTGAGACATCGTTGATAGTATATTTTGATGTCGTGTGATCCACGATCTATCCTTACTTTTATGATGTTGTGTGAAATTGTTATAGTTGCTATGTTTTGTATTGTGTGAATTAAAAATATGATGTGCTTTTACCTTAATGCTTATATTTAACTAATATGCTTATATTTATGAATCTTATAAAATATAGTAGGTAATTGTGTATTACTAAATTTTGTTAGTTTAATGTTCGAATTGTTTTCATGTGCAAGTTATAGATTTCATGGTTCATGGTAGGACACCAACATTATCAAAGAAGTCTTATTAATATTACCCAAATATAATTACTTAGGTGGACTTGTAATAGTTGTTTTTTGTATTGAATAGATTTATAATTTATTGTATATATTATTTTAGAAAATAAAGGAATTTTGAAATTTGTTGTAACCCCTTCAGACCGATGCGGGTAACCCGATCCGATCTGGAGTGTCACATTAGGGCCACCGGAGTGACCCACTGTAAATATAGCAGAAAATTTAAAACTTTTTATCAGAACATGTAAACTCATAAAATCATTTATCAGTATTCAGAAATAAAACATATTTTCAGACTCGTATATAAAACAAAATACAATTACATGCCCCCTAATCACAAGTACCATACTGTGCAAGTGACGCCGGAAGAACTCTCTTACTTAAATCGATAGCTGCACTGGTACAATTCTTTTAACATGCAATGGTGAGTAATAGAGTGAGCTTCGGAAAGCTCAGTAATACAGAACTACCAGATGATGCTATAGGTCATGCAGATAAATGAAACACCATATAATTTCCTTTTAAAATTAAACGTATACTGGTTTCCAAAATAATCTCGAGTTCCACTGGAGATTCATCAAGTAGAAGTCATGAAGATCTTAGGTCATAGGAGCATTCATAGTATGACATTTTCAGGAGATAGAATAGGATGATAGTGTGTTCCAACAATACAATAAAATCATAATAGGTACACTTATCAAATGATAGCTTAACTTTTGAAACTCGTAGTTTAAACCATTCTCTTGTACACCATCCGCAGTTCCCAGAACTGCGTCCATAGGGCTTACCTTAAGCACACGGCAAAAAGGAAGCCAACTTAAGGATATGCTTTGGGGCCTGTATCCTTAAGTCTGTAAGTCCATAGGGCTTTCCCTAAGCACACAACAAAAGGGAGCCAACCTAATGGAGTATCTTGGGGCCCATGAGCCTATCCAAGAGTCACATTAGGTCCGTAAGGTTTACCAGCTTGATCAAAGCTATACTCAAATCAATCCATCCAAAATCAGTATTTCAAAAGTACAATTTATGCAGTAAGCATATTTTCCATAAATCCGAAATCATCGTTATCATATATCATTGAAAACCAATAATCATATATCAGTCATAGTCTATAAACCATCACCAGTAAGTCGGTGTATTAATAGGCAGTAAACCGTAGATTTCAGTGTACCATATTTCAAAACAGATAAAATAATTAAATAGTACTTAGGGAACACACTAGAGGATCCAAGTATTTTCAGAGGCCATGTAGTTATCAGTATGGATAACACGAAACTTATGCAATTTGATTGGATTCCAGGAACGAGGTCATATTGAAGAGAATCGATTAATAATCAATCTAATCCGACATTTAAGGTTGATACTTTCAAATCCTTCTATGATTCATATATCTCAGGAAAGTGTTCAGGTATGACCAGAGTAATTTGAGCTGATAAAGGAGAAACGAATATTCAGGGCACTTACCATCCATGCCAATCGATCAAACTATCAACAACTCCTAAAACTGATGTATTTCAACTGGTCAATTCAATGCCCTTCTAGGGTATTCACACTTTAATACCAACAATTCTTGTTTATAGATCATCTTCAGAATCATCGTTGAATACATCTAAAGGAAGCAATAAAGGATCCAAATAATCTTTATTTCTATCCACATGGCAACAATATCACGAATTGTCAACGTATTTAATTCTTGGTTCATAACCCATAGTAATCATACATCATGCAATATCATTGGAGTTCTCAGACTCATTCAATCACTTACTAAATTCTCAGTCATTAAAGTTACTTGGTTCACTTAGTAGTCAAATCAATATCTCATTTACTTTAGAGTCTTTCCGAGTAATTCAGATGCTTTTGCGTTTCAGATACATGTTGTACTTCTGTTTAGTTCACTTTGGTCATTTATTAAAATCATTATTTTGTATTCCTGGTTGATTTATCTCACGAATATCCACTTCTTAATATTGAATGTGCTCTAGCGTTGAGCTGAGTACTTCCACAATTATCATCAATCCCAATTTGAGGAGACGAACAAACTTTCAAATGGTATTTATGTCATTCATGTACTGATATAGCATTAACGTTGGTCGACCGACTTAAACTATGTTCCATAACTTTTAAAGGCAATGCAATATCCATGTTTATTTAGATTCCTTAATGAATCCAATTCATTTACATATCATGGGTCATAAGGGTATTTTAGTCATTTTGGTGCTCAATGTTGTTCCTGACATTTCATAGCTTGAAGATATCCAATCTTTTCTGAACTTGATGAAATTCGTGGGTCATTTGCATTCCAAGGGTATTTTGGTCATTTTACAAATACAAGATATTTCACTCATTTCTTGCCGTCCGATATTATTATTTAATTCATACTTATCATCTATTTCATTCCCTTCCAACAATTCTGACATAAGAGCACCCTTGATTAATTTATTCTTCAAGTATTTACTCATAACTCGGAGATTTACGGATTATTAGGAATTTTCTGTATAAACGTATAACTTAACGATGAAACTAATAATTCATCGATTTAGACATGACTTCTTAAGTACTTTTCCATTAAGGGTCAATTCAGGCTATTTTCCCTCTCAAGGGTAATTTTATAATTTCTTAACTATATAATTTCGGTATTAAAAATCTTAACAAAGATAATTATAATTTAGAGATTCTAGGGTTTATCTCTTTTCCGGATAATCTTTAAACTTTAAATTATTCCATATCAAACTTCTAGTATCTTGTACAAGCCATCTTGAGTTTAGAAATCGGTTATCCAGATCTTCTAAAAGAACTAGTATTTTCTATACACATCAGTAGTTTCATCATATTAATATGTCTTTACAAACTTGTTATCCAACTTCCCGGGTTAATTCTTGTCTTTTTACAACATAATGGTATTTTCGTAATTTTACCAAATCGAAGTATTCTCATAATCTATCACTTAAATTGTATTCGGTTCGAGTCCATCAATAATCAAACATGCATAACAATCTAATCATATACATCCATGCATTTATCCATTATCAACATGTTCCATAAAGCATAAAGAGGTAGTAATGTATTACCTCGATTTTCGTGCCATACCGATCGACCATTTAAATTCCATTTGAACGCCCTCGATCTTTAATTCAACTTCCAATATTTTCCTAACGATCCAAGCCATTAAAATTACTAACTCGTATCCAAATAATTTCTCTCGCCCTAAAAAATAACTTATTAGAATCTAAATAATAATTTGAGGACTCAATTGATAAAATTGAAAATTGACGTTGCCATCAGAATAGTTAATTACTTAAATTAGTGACTAAATTGATCTTGAAAAAAATATTATATCATAACTATAATCACTTGGAACTAAGAGACAAGGTAAAGATCTCACCAAACTTGGGTGACTTACCTTGTGATTTACCACTTTATTTTCCTAGACATCTCCCACATGATTTTTCATATTGGAATCATAACCCCATTTTCCTTTGTCTTCATGTGCATTCATAAACTTATCTCTTTCATCAAAGGGTATTGAAGCACTTATCACCAAGAATAAGTTTGACACTAACTCAAGCTTTGCGGCAGAAACCATGGCCGTTGTGCATCAACGAACCCACAGACATCTCTGATTGTATGATGGTAATTGAAGCGTGAGACCATGAGCGTAACCTCCGAAAACCTTATCTGAATAGAGGTTGTTGGAAACGTTGAATCCACAATAAGCCCCATAGATGGGGGTAGTGCATTGGTAATACTACTGGCAGCAACAGTTGGCTTAGAAGGAGTAGAGCTTGAGTTGTTACTTCCAAGAGTTCTTCCAATACCATGAAACACACTTTGGGGCTTATTCGGTTCAAAATAGTTTTCATCCCGTCTAAGGAAATGAAGTTCCACTTTTGTTCTCGGATTAGCTGGTTGAAACTCTTTTGGACATTGAGACTACATCACACTTTTGGTGTGATCCCATAACCGAGAACCAACTGGTTATGTGTTGAGACATGAGCAACTCTCAATCTCCCTCCAACCTCGCTGGCGACTACCTCGTGCTCCCACTGTCAAGGTAAATTTTGATACTTTATTTTTGTTCCATCAGAAGACAGCTTGGTCATGGGTGCTTGTAAGAAATGAATGAGGTCATATAATGGGAGCTTGTCGTATAAGGGTGCCGAGGGTTACCTCCGTTTTCATGGCCGAGGCATATGCTGCCATGCCTGTGATAATTTTCTTTCTTCTTCACGAATTTGGTTTTCGATGATGTAGAGATTGAAGGGGACTCACGAACAGTGGTTTCAAAGCTCTCCTCGCCTACTCAAGACATATCAGAGATCAGTGCGCTGTTTTGGGAGGCACGATAGCAGGCGTTAGCTTTTCGTCGGTGTAGTTTTCGTCATACTCCTCGTGCCGATAACCAGGCAACCTATCAGTTAGCTGCTGCGAATGGATTAAATGGCGAGAATAGCTACTGGATTGAAGAGGCACCTCGAAGTGTTGAATGGCAAGCTTATGAAGACCGACGATGGTTGGATCCCCCTAGCTGCTCTATGTTTTGTGGAGTTCTTAAGGCTCGATTCTTGTTTGTTTTCTCTCTTCGCTTATCTCTCGATTTTTTTCTTTTGTCAACAAATTCACATGTGAATCAAACATGTAGGAAATAAAATAAAATTTCTTCTAAGATGGAAAGTAATGGATTCCAACCATGCCGACAATGCCATTATCCTTAATTTAATCCATCTCACCCAACAATTTGTCCACTTTTACCTACTCTATCATCCTCATTCACAATTTTCTTTTAAAATTAATTTACCCCATTATTGAGGTGTGACAATTCTCCCCTTCTTAAAAGAATTTCGTCCTTGAAATTCATTCATGTCACATAATTGTAGAAATGGAAATTCCATCAGTTCTTTCATATCTTTCATTATCTTTTAGAGAAGTATCGATACTGTATTAATCTTTAACCAGTTAAGTAGACATTTTTTTCAGAACTCTCCATAATTCTAAGAAAATAATCAGAACAAATTTATCCTTGTGAAATCAATTCAACATTAGTTACGAAAATAGGCTTATAGAGCTATAACATATCCCAATTTATTTCTGGAATTAGTTCAGAATTTCTCCAATGAGTAACTATCACATGGCTTGTGAAGTACTTTACAGAATTAGACATACGTTTCTGATATTTCTTTATGCCATGGTAGAGTCCTAACGAATAGAAAACTTAGGCTCATTACAGATTAGGGCTCAACCTTGGAGTTTAGACTCAGAGAAGTACGAATGAAGTCTAAGGGCATGTATTGATCAAACATCTTTTAAAGTTCGACCGACCAGTTTATCATGAAAATTTTGACTCAAACCAAAGCTCTGATACCACTAAATGTAACCCCTTCAGACCGATTCGGGTAACCCGATCCGATCTGGAGTGTCACATTAGGGCCACCGGAGCGACCCACTGTAAATATAGTAGAAAATTTAAAACTTTTTATCAGAACATGTAAACTCATAAAATCATTTATCAGTATTCAGAAATAAAACATATTTTCAGACTCGTATATAAAACAAAATACAATTACATGCCCCCTAATCACAAGTATCATACTGTGCAAGTGACGCCGGAAGAACTCTCTTACTTAAATCGATAGCTGCACTGGTACAATTCTTTTAACATGCAATGGTGAGTAATAGAGTGAGCTTCGGAAAGCTCAGTAATACAAAACTACCAGATGATGCTATAGGTCATGCAGATAAATGAAACACCATATAATTTCCTTTTAAAATTAAACGTATATTGGTTTCCAAAATAATCTCGAGTTCCACTGGAGATTCATCAAGTAGAAGTCATGAAGATCTTAGGTCATAGGAGCATTCATAGTATGACATTTTCAGGAGATAGAATAGGATGTCTAGTGTGTTCCAACAATACAATAAAATCATAATAGGTACACTTATCAAATGATAGTTTAACTTTTGAAACTCGTAGTTTAAACCATTCTCTTGTACACCATCCGCAGTTCCCAGAACACGGTAAAAAGGAAGCCAACCTAAGGATATGCTTTGGGGCCTGTATCCTTAAGTCCGTAAGTCTATAGGGCTTTCCCTAAGCACACAACAAAAGGGAGCCAACCTAATGGAGTATCTTGGGGCCCGTGAGCCTATCCAAGAGTCATATTAGGTCCGTAAGGTTTACCAGCTTGATCATAGCTATACTCCGATCAATCCATCCAAAATTAGTATTTTAAAAGTACGATTTATGCAGTAAACATATTTTCCATAAATCCGATATCATCGTTATCATATATCAGTGAAAACCAATAATCATATAGCAGTCATAGTCTATAAACCGTCACCAGTAAGTCAGTGTATCAATAGGCAATAAACCATAGATTTCAGTGTACCATATTTCAAAGCAGATAAAATAATTAAATAGTACTTAGGGAACACACTAGAGGATCCAAGTATTTTCAGAGGCCATGTAGTTATCGGTATGGATAACACGAAACTTATGCAATTTGATTGGATTCCAGGAACGAGGTCATATTGAAGAGAATCGATTAATAATCAATCTAATCCGACATTTAAGGTTGATACTTTCAAATCCTTCTATGATTCATATATCTCAAGAAAGTGTTCAGGTATGACCAGAGTAATTTGAGCTGATAAAGGAGAAACGAATATTCAGGGCACTTATCATCCATGCCAATCGATCAAACTATCAACAACTCCTAAAACTGATGTATTTCAACTGGTCAATTCATTGCCTTTCTAGGGTATTCACACTTTAATACGAACAATTCTTGTTTATAGATCATCTTCAGAATCATCGTTGAATACATCTAAAGAAAGCAATAAAGGATCCAAATAATCTTTATTTCTATCCACATGGCAACAATATCACGAATTGTCAACGTATTTAATTCTTGGTTCATAACCCATAGTAATCATACATCATGCAATATCATTGGAGTTCTCAGACTCATTCAATCACTTACTAAATTCTCAATCATTAAAGTTACTTGGTTCATTTAGTAGTCAAATCAATATCTCATTTACTTCAGAATCTTTCCGAGTAATTCAGATGCTTTTGCGTTTCAGATACATGTTGTACTTTTGTTTAGTTCACATTGGTCATTTACTAAAATCATTATTTTGTATTCGTGGTTGATTTATCTCATGAATATCCACTTCTTAATATTGAATGTGCTCTAGCGTTGAGCTGAGTACTTCCACAATTATCATCAATCTCAATTTGAGGAGACGAACAAACTTTCAAATGGTATTTATGTCATTCAGGTACTGACATAGCATTAACGTTGGTCGATCGGCTTAAACTGTGTTCCATAACTTTTAAAGGCAATACAACATCCATGTTTATTTGGATTCCTTAATGAATCCAATTCATTTACTTATCCTGGGTCATAAGGGTATTTTAGTCATTTTGGTACTCAATGTTGTTCCTGACATTTCATAGCTTGAAGATATCCAATCTTTTCTGAACTTTATGAAATTCGTGGGTCATTTGCATTCCAAGGGTATTTTGGTCATTTTACAAATACAAGGTATTTCACTCATTTCCTTTCGTCCGATCTAATTATTTAATTCAAACTTATCATCTATTACATTCCCTTTCAACAATTCTGACATAAGAGCACCCTCGATTAATTTATTCTTCAAGTATTTACTCATAACTCGGAGATTTACGGATTATCAGAAATTTTCTGTATAAACATATAACTTAACGATGAAACTAATTATTCATCGATTTAGACATGACTTCTTTAGTACTTTTCCATTCAGGGTCAATTCGGGCTATTTTCCCTCTCAAGGGTAATTTTATAATTTTTTAACCATATAATTTCGGTATTAAAACTCTTAACAAAGATAATTATAATTTAGAGATGATAGGGTTTATCTTTTTTCCAGATAATCTTTAAACTTTAAATTATTCCATATCAAACTTCTAGTATCTTGTACAAGCCATCTTGAGTTTAGAAATCGGTTATCCAGATCTTCTAAGGAAAACTAGTATTTTCTGTACAGATCAGTAGTTTCATTAGATCAATATGTCTTTACAAACTTCTTATCCAACTTCCCGGGTCAATTCTTGTCTTTTTACAACATAATGGTATTTTCATAATTTTACCAAATCGAAGTATTCTCATAATCTATCACTTAAACTGTATTCGGTTCGAGTCCATCAATAATCAAACATGCATAACAATCCAATCATATACATCTATGCATTTATCCATTATCAATATGTTCCATAAAACATAAAGAGGTAATAATGTATTACCTCGATTTTTGTGCCATACCGATCGACCATTTAAACTCCATTTGAATGCCCTCGATCTTTAATTCAACTTCCAATATTTTCCTAACGATCCAGGCCATTAAAATTACTAACTCGTATCCAAATAATTTCTCTCGCCCTAAAAAAATAACTTATTAGAATCTAAATAATAATTTGAGGACTCAATTGATAAAATTGAAAACTGACGTTGCCATCAGAATAGTTAATTACTTAAATTAGTGACTAAATTGATCTTAAAAAAAACTATTATGTCATAACTATAATCACTTGGAACTAAGAGACAAGGTAAAGATCTCACCAAACTTGAGTGACTTACCTTGTGATTTACCACTTTATTTTCCTAGACATCTCCCACGTGATTTTCATATTGGAATCATAACCCCATTTTCCTTTGTCTTCATGTGCATTCATAAACTTATCTCTTTCATCAAAGGGTATTGAAGCACTTATCACCAAGAATAAGTTTGACACTAGCTCAAGCTTTGCGGCCGAAACCATGGCCGTTGTGCATCAATGAACCCACGAACATCTCTGATTGTATGATGGTAATTGAAGCGTGAGACCATGAGCGTACCCTCCGTAAACCTTATCTGAATAGAGGTTGTTGGCAACGTTGAATCCACAACAAGCCCCATAGATGGGGGTGGTGTAGTGATAATACTACTGGCAAAAACAGTTGGCTTAGAAGGAGTAGAGCTTGAGTTGTTACTTCCAAGAGTTCTTCCAATACCATGAAACGCACTTTGGGGCTTATTCGGTTCAAAATAGTTTTCATCCCGTCTAAGGAGATGAAGTTCCACTTTTGTTCTCGGATCAGCGGGTTGAAACTCTTTTGGACATTGAGATTGCATCACACTTTTTGTGTGATCCCATAACCGAGAACCAACTGGTTATGTGTTGAGACATGAGCAACTCTCAATCTCCCTCCAACCTTGCTGGCGACCACCTCGTGCTCCCACTGTCAAGGTAAATTTTGATACTTGATTTTTGTTCCATCAGAAGGCAGCTTGGTCAGGGGTGCTTGTAAGAAATGAATGAGGTCATATAATGGGAGCTTGTCGTATAAGGGTGCCGAGAGTTACCTCCGTTTTCATGGCCGAGGCATATGCTGCCATGCATGTGATAATTTTCTTTCTTCTTTATGGATTTGGTTTTCGATGATGTAGAGATTGAAGGGGACTCACGAACAGTGGTTTCAAAGCTCTCCTCGCCTACTCAAGACATATCGGAGATCAGTGCGCTGTTTTGGGAGGCACGACAGCAGGCGTTAGCTTTTCGTCGGTGTAGCTTTCGTCATACTCCTCGTGTCGATAACCAGGCAACCTATCAGTTAGCTGCTGCGAATGGCTTAAATGGCGAGAATAGCTACTGGATTGAAGAGGCACCTCGAAGTGTTGAACGGCAAGCTTCTGAAGACCGACGATGGTTGGATCCCCCTAGCTGCTCTGTGTTTTGGGGAGTTCTTAAGGCTCGATTCTTGTTTGGTTTCTCTCTTCGCTTATCTCTCGATTTTTTTTTCTTTTGTCAACAAATTCACATGGGAATCAAACATGTAGGAAATAAAATAAAATTTCCTCTAAGATGGAAAGTACTGGATTCCAACCATGCCGACAATGCCATTATCCTTAATTTAATCCATCTCACCCAACAATTTGTCCACTTTTACCTACTCCATCATCCTCATTCACAATTTTCTTTTAAAATTAATTTACCCCATTATTGAGGTGTGACATTTGTACAATTTCTTAAATTAAATATATATTTATATTTAATTAAATTTTATTTTGATATTACTCCGATGAATGAATGTGACATTCATAGATTTATAATGCATAAAAAAATATTGATTATCATATTTGAAGTAAAAAACAATACCATATTTTATGAATTAAAGCTATTCCTAAAATATATGTTTAACAAATAGATAGATTTACCGAGCCATATTGATTATAAAAAAATATTACTATTTTGTTTTTGAAAAAAAACTCAAATTTAAATAATTATATCTATGAGATATACGTGCATCAACAATTGTGCATCATCAATCCCTCTCTTGTAGAGGAACCTTGTCCTCAAGGTTCGAAGAAGATGTTGAACACGATTTGTTTTTCCAACAAAGATAGTGGAGTGACTTCTTGTTGATGAATGCGTTAACATGACTTCAAACATCGACTCCCTTAAGTTTAAATTCTTCTCTACTTCTCGAACTTGGGCTGAGGTAACCTTTCCCTTACCAGGAATCATACCAATAACACGAGTCAGAGAACTCATCCGAGTAATTGCATGAGTCTGCTTTAAGAAATAATTGAGGTCAAACTTTGTACTCCTTATCTTCCTTTGCAAATTTTCAGCATCTTCTTGGCATATAACTTCTTGTGCCTTCTCAACCAATGAGAAAACATCTCCCACCCCCGAGAGGCATCCAACCATTCGATCAAAATAGAAAAGTTTAAGGTCCTCCATGTGCTCTCCATATCCTGCAAGTTTGATTGGCTTTCCGGACAGCTCTTTATCACTCAAAGCTGCATCATCTCTAGAACCTCTATCTAGCTTTGTTAAAATGGCACCTACAATCCCTATCTCAACATTGAATGTCGTGACTTTAAATATGTCGGTCATGTTAAGGACATCTTGTCGAGCAGCAACATTCACAAAAATCATTGTTAACATCAATTCTCGTTCAGCCAATGACAACTGGTTACTATCTTGTACCTCATGAATGTCCACAAGCTTATAGAGTTGTTTCACCAATTTGCAAATTGATTCATCAATATCAGGGACAAATGTTGTTATGAGGGATAGTCTCTCTGTTTCAGCATGCCCGAAAGCCAAGCTAACATTGTTAAGAACTCTGAAAAACACATTTATACTCATAGAAAAAGTGTGAGATTGAAGTACACTTTTCCCGGCTGGTGCACCACCAAAATTTGTAAACACAAATTCAATAACCTGTTCTCCCATCACTTTTATCAACTCATCACGTACAATTTTAAATAATTGTTGATTCGGGTTCACCCCTTGAAATAAAACAACTCCCACAACCAGGTCACTTATAGCTTGGACAACCTGTCTAATAACAAGACTCGCATCTACTTCAAAAAGTGCTCTTCTAATGTCACACATTGGTCCCATAATATTTTCATTTGTCAAAACCTCATCTCCTTTAAGTTTGATCCAAGAAACTTCTAGGCCACTTGTCAATTGACCAAACATTTCAGCTCTCACAACCCCTCGTGTTTCTTTTTGGAAATTTTTTGGATTGCGACGAAGGCCAAGCCATAACTTTCGATTGGGTTGTAACGTGTCAAACTCCAAATCTCTTGTTACATTTATGTAATGCTTGACATTATGAACTTCGAAACTTCTAATGAATTGAGTCACACTCTTTCCCATTAACAAAGGCCTAAACTTAGAAGGATCATCAATCTTAACCAACACTTTCACATGAGTAAGCAGTAATAAATAACCCCTTATATCTAACACCTAAAAGCTGTAATTTATCCCCGAAATTAGCAACGTGCGGTGTACACAACATCAAAGAGTATAATCCCAGATATTTGGCAGTATGGAAATTGAATTCAAAGCGAAGGTTTTCGCACTTACTTCCATTAATATGATTCAGAATGCCAATTACATGCAGATTCCCAATTTTCTTCGATGGTTGCTCTTGTATTTTAATATTCTGATCTTGAACATCATTTTATGTTGTCTCGACGGGTTTAGATGAACCTATGATTCTCCTGATATCACTTGAAAAATTAACTCTATCACTGCTTTGATTTGTTTGGTCTTCAACATCATTTTCCTTTGGTGTTGACAAATCGTCGAACACTTGGGGATCTTTGTGCTTGAACTGTCTTGCTTAGTAACAAGTTTACCCGACAGTCCCAAATGCAATGATATGACTTCCAATTGACGTTCCACATATTTAAGTGTTTGTTGGATCTCATCGTTCACCTGTTTCTGCTGATCAGCATGAGCTTGAAGAGATCCCAATAGTTTGTGTTATCTGAGTTTAAAAACAGATGTTAAATACGAATATTTTGTATATGTATACATATTTAATTTTCCATTATATACATAGAAAGAGGATCTACTATTATATTCATACTAAAAGATATTTGAATATATACGAATATTTTTAGAATGAATGAAAGATAATTTTGTACAATGCTATGGAAAAGTCTAAGAAACGATAACCTATAAAAAATGTGATAAAAAAATAACATTTTAGGTCGAACACAACCTAAAATATTACATTTCTCATAATATTTTCAGTTGAACTTAAAATATTATTTTCTTCATAATATTTTCGGTTACGTTCTTCATAAAATTTTAGGATCAATCGAAAATGTTTGGGAAAAGAAAACATTTTAGGTTCGAGTTTGCCCAACCTAAAATGCTATGGTTTTATCACTTTTTAATTGCATCTATTTTCACCTGTTTTTAACTTTAATATAGGGTGTCGTACTGCAGAACTACCGTAATACTATGCAAAATGACCACATCAATTATATCACGGGGAATTTGACCATATGAAGATAGGAAAGTAGGCATGTAAACGAATTGAATGAACATGAACGATGGTATGTTTATGTTCGTTCGTTTAACTTTAATCGAACAAACGAGTAAACACAAACAACTAAACGAATGGAGTTTCTTGTTTATATTCGTTCATTAAGAAATTTAATTCATTTGTGTTCGTTCATGTTCGTTCATTAGAATGATAAACGAACACAAATGAACTGACATAAACGAACGTAAATGAACATAGACGAACAAATACAAAATTATTAATTGGATTATCTTTGAGAAGATTTTTTTCTTTCCAAATAATTTTAAGATTTATATTTTTTTTTAATTGATTTGAATATAAACGAACAAACATAAATGAACGGATTACCAAACGTTCACGGACGTAAATGAACAAATGAGTCCTTTTTCCATGTTCTTTCATTTAATTGAATACAAATAAAATCTTATTTATGTTTGTTCGTTCATTAAATAAACGAACATAAATGAACTTCCCTTCGAACAATTCGTTCAGCTTTCGGTAGTTTACATGCCCATGAGAAAGGAACGTTTTATTTATTTTTGCGTCTATATTTGGTATTGTCAAAACTAAAATTCGATAGTCGCAATTAAGTATTCTATTAACTAAATAAATTATTGATTTATTTTTTTTCTAGGGCAAACTATGTCAATAGTCCCCATTATTTTTTATTTGACTGACTTTAGTCATCGTTTTTAATTATATCTGATCTTTTATATTATCAGTTCGTTAGGTTTAAGTCACACAACCGTTAACTTTCGTTAACACATTAACAGAAGTTTCCTTTACTCGGTTTGTTCAGTTTAAGTCACCTAAGTCTGAGTTGTAATTAAAATTTTAAATTTTTTAAAACCCACACTTCTTCTTCTTACATGGATTTGGAGGAAAAAAGCTACGAAGAAAATCATTCTTTCAACTGACAAAGTAAACCTGTCAGCAGAAGACAATAAAGACGAGGTGAACTGTTTTCAACGAATCTCTAAATTTAATGATGTTGAGGATTTTCAAAATTGCATTGACATTCTTGGATCATATTAGAATGCCTGTTTTCTGGGGAAAATTATAGTTTGGAATAGTTTTATTATACTGAAGTTTTTTTCTGGTGATTTGGGGTTTATATGGTTTTCCCCCAGATACAGACACTTGTTGAGGATAGAAGAGCATTGGAGAATGAGCTGAAAATTTTGAATAACAAGCTTTCTTCTGCAGTTTCTGAATGTAATTCTAAAGATGAATTTGTGAAGAAACATGAAAAGATGGCAATGGAAGCTGTCGTTGGTATTTTTTGTTATCCTTTTAAAATTTTGATGTATTAATGATCCACATTTACTTGGCCGCTTTTTAATCAACCAATTATATGAAGGCAAGGAAAAGGTAGAAATAGAAGCAGTTCTTCTAAAGCAAGAAGGTGATGAAGCATTGCATATCAGGGTTGCTTGCGAAGAAATGCTAACTTGTGTCGATGCAGCCCTCAAGGGATGCATGCAGCAACTACGGTTCGTTCGAGAAGAGTAGGAGCGAAGGATCCATGATGTTGTAACGAAGGCCTCGAATGAGTTCGAGAATCACAGAAAATTTTAGAGGTGCGATTGGCGAAATCTAGCAAAAGGGTTACGAAATTAGTAGCTGAGCATACTAATCTCAGTAAGGCTCTGTTGGCAAAGGAAAAATTGATTGATGATTTAAACAAGCGAAGGGCTCAAATGGAGACAGATTTAATGCGCTGATGACAGAAAGATAATGCCTCTCTGAAATACGAGATTCGAGCTCTTGAGAAGGAACTCGATATCAGGAATGAAGAGAGAGAATTCAATCGTCAAACAGTCGAGGCATCACACAAGCAACATTTAGAAAGTGTGAAAAAATTGCCAAGCTAGAATCGGAATGTCAAAGGCTACGGCTCCTAGTCCAGAAACGGCTGTCAGATCCTGCAGCATTGTAACATCTTAAATTCCGGGTTAGTAGTTTCGAATTTATCCGAAGGATAAGTGGACCCCGTGAATTTTATATTTTAAGTCGTTGGGCTGAGTTGAGCTTAATTGAGTTGGTCTTAGGCCCAATTACCCATAAAAAAGAGAGTTTTTGAATAGTGGGAAGATGGAAAGGACCAAGAGTGTAATTTTCCCATTTTATAAAGATGAAACCCTTTTTATTTCATTCATCTTTGCTCCCCCATTACTTCATTTTTACTTCTCCTTCTTCATCTCCAAATTCCATAGCTCAAAGGTAAGCTCTTAAATCTTTCTCATACTTCAAATTCGTCCATATTGCTTCCATCAACGTTGTTTTAAGGATTCAAGCCTTAGGTTTCTCATTTTGCAAGAGAAAATGGTTTTAGAGTGTTCAAATGCAAATGGAGAAGAGAAAGACGAGTAATTGAATAAACAAACTTCATTTCAAATTCCTAAACTAAGGTAGTGTATTTCTAATCCTTTGTTGTGTTATGAAACTCCTAACCATGATACTTGTTGGGGGATTTAGGTTTTGAGCATATTTGGGGGGTTTTGTTTAATTTATGTCTAGATGATGTTTTTGTGTAAAAGTAGTGTTCTTAAGGTGCTAAATAACCCTAAATAACTTCCTAAGACATTATCATATGATTTGAAACCAAACTATGACCTTTAGAGTGATTTTAGGTGTTTTCTTGAGCCTAAATAAACCATTTTAGGGTTTGAGTGTCGATACTAGATGAACATTATCGATATTGGTTAAATTGGGGCAAAATTTAGGGTTCAAGCAAGAAATATTGATACTACCCCTACATTATCGATACTCAGGGTGACAATATCGATACTAAGCCTATTTTTCAGAAACAAAATGCATTTTTGGTACCGATACTTATTGGGGTATCGATACTGCAAGTAGAGTATCGATATTACTCACTTTGAATGGTAGATTTGACCCGATCAAGACCCGTAAAAGCTATGGACGATCCGTAATAGTAAGACATAGTTCTTGGGGGACATAAATGAACAAACATACCTAGAAACACTCATAGGAGTGGATTACAACTGATGTAACCATACTAAGCATAATACGTCGAAGTATCTTCAGTAGAGCACGTATCTGAATAGTTAAGTACGAGGACGTTGTAAAGTATGTACCAAAAATGGCACGATGAGTAAGCCAGATTTAGTAATGATGAAAAGCGTGGTGCTTCGAAAACATCAGTGAACCGAGAACATATAAGTCTTTCCACCATTTTAAGGGGTATTGGAAGAAGTACGATAAGAGCGTTGGGAGTGTTGCTGCCCAGCTGAACCCGAGCCAAGTATTGAGCTAACTAATGATACAACCATTGAACAACAAGCACAATAATCGTCATAAAATCATGAAAGCTTAGAGATCTCTATGGAGACGTAGATGACTAAAATACCCTTAAAGTGCTAATGATCAGAATAAAGTTGTTAAATAAATTATCAACAATAACATACTAATAAACCTTTCCATAACATCCTAGGTAAGATGATGAGCGAGATAGTGTCGGGTGAAGGGGGATGGCCTCACCTAACTTCAATAAGTTTGGTAGCGAGTAACCGAGCTACTTCGATTACCTTAGTGTGGCATCAGTTAACGTGTATTGAGACGTTAGCTCTAGAGAAAAAAACTTATAATAATTTTAATTGTGTGATAACCATCAGAATCTTATGAGGTATGATTCCATAAGACTTATGCTTTTGTTTGCCACTCGGAAAACGATGAGGACACTCGAGTTACTTTATCAATAGGATGATCGTTTTGTGTGCATAAAATATGCAGATATATCCAAGTCAGTGCGATAGCACTTTAGTCGCTAGTTGAACATTGTACTGATGCTATGTGACCCATACACATTTTGAGT